TATGTTTTAGCTCAGTGTGTTAGAATTAACTATAGGTAATGCCTCCCGAGATCTCTCTCTCTCTCTCTGCCTGTCAGACTGCTACGACCCCATCTTCAGACAAATGACCTCACCACAGGAGACTCCTCCTCCTCCATCAAACAGACAGACAACCCGAGCTGAACCAACAACGACCTGAGGCATCCAGAACCATCTCCACCTGAGGCATCCAGAACCAAACCAGCATGCTGACAAAGAGGCAAACTCTCATCGGTCCCCCACAGGAAGTTCCAAACTGAGCCACGAGATTTGGCACAAGAGCAGAGTGTGGGACATGAGAGCAGAATACGCCCTCCATGCAACAGCGTAGAGACTGAAAAGGAGGAGATGAAATGCAAAGCAGTTGGGCCACTGAAAAGAATTACAGCGGGAAGATCCAAGAGCGGATGGACTGAGGAGAAGACAGGACAGAGGAGAGGACAGAACCAGAGGAGTTGGCATGGGCCAGCAGAACCTGAAGGGGTCGTGGCTTGACGACCAGAGGGGGAGAGAAGGAACACGGGAGTGAGTGAGTTAACACATAAACACACTTATTAGAAAATAATCCTAAAAACACACTGAGGGTAGAACATATAATTCAATCTTTTCATCATAATAAACAAATTATTCTTATAGAGATTCTTATTCATGTGAGAATTTGGGGAAGATTTAATTTGTTACAATATAGATAGCAGGCAAATCTTTATTTGAATGGAAAATAGTACCAAGTCAAAGAAAGTATTCCAATCTAGAGTATTGATTTCACCATTGTAGCATGGTTATTACCACAGGAGAACTGTTAAGGTGGAAACAACATTTGTTTGTCGTCCAAGATGTAGAGTTTTAAAAAGACACTAGGCAAAGAGCGATTGAAGATTTTAATTTTGAAAAAACTAGTATAATTGGGAGTAATACATGCGGGGCCTTGGATCACTCATTTTAATGGTGCATATTTTCGACAACAAATATCGTTCAGGGAGAAGGGGTCGCTCAACCCACCCTGCAGATGTTTTAAATCTTACTTGCAGCTTCAGAGGGAGCGCACGGCACCAGAGTATGAGTTTTAAAAGACAAGTGCCACCACCTCCTAATGCTCATCCATTTAATCAGTGATGACCTGACATTTAGAGATGTTATTTAAAAGGAGAAACATATCTGCCATGAGTGAAAATTCCTGAATTGAACTACAAACCATTAATGAAATGACTTCTGTTTTTAAAGTCCTTGTTAAAGGAGGGATTAATTATCACATGCTCGGGCACCCAAGGTTCCACACACTGTTAAGGAGGTTAGCATAGTTCTTCAAGTAGACCAGAAATGAAAATAAATTAGTATAATGAGTTATTGATATTCCACCGATTTTCACACCATTTCAGGGACTTTATCACTGCATTAGAACAGACCACCCCAAAGCCAGTAGGGCTAAGAGACCAGTCCCAGGGGGAGTTTATGGCGCGTTTCCACTGCAGCGGGTAGCTCACTTTAAGCGTGCCGAGCCGTGCGTGGCCCGTTTTTGGTTGCGTTTCCACTTGGCCTAGTTTTGGCCCGGGGCTACATTTTCACCTTTTTTCTGGCCCGACTAAATCGTGGTTCTAGGGCCAGGAACAACCAGGCTGAGTCGGGCTGAGTATGCTAAACTAGAGAGAGAATCGCTGGCAAGGGGGCTACAACTACAACAAGATGAACATATTTGACCGTGAATTAATTGTAATACACGTTTCAAAATGATGCCGAAGTAACAACATACTGATACCGGTTAGTAAAAACCATGAATTAATGTTTTGACAAGTCTGCAGACAGACGGCAGGCGAAAAACCCTTTTAAAATGCGTGTTTTCTAAATGTAGCTTGGCTAAGCTAACGTTATATATGCTCCGACCGTCCACACTCACAACAACGGCCTATACAGACATAAATAAACCAGCGACTGTATTCGCCATGACACAAGCAGTCTGTGGTTTGTACTTGTTTAACTTTTGTCTAGTTTCTGAACAGATATGAAGAGCTGTGAGCTCTGAGTGCTAAGAGCTAACGGCTGTGTTGTTTTTCTGGGGCTCTCATTGAAGATGACGTCACGGCTCCGCCTACACTGCGTTACTATAGTAACTGCCCCAGTTCCTAAACTGTAATGGAAGCGCAGCATTAAAGTGAGCCGGGCCTAATAAGGCCTAACCAAACCAAGCGAGGCTGAGCGAGGCCGAGCGAGGCCTGCAGTGGAAACGCGCCATTAGGCTCCAGGGTACAAAGATAGCATAGGGGCGCCCAGGGGAGGCCTAGATGTTGCACTAATTCCATGTCCTAAAATACCGATTGATTACAACGGCCTCTTCTAGAGAACATATTACTTTCATACCTTAAATGGTATGAAAGGAGGGAGGGTAAATTTCTCATGGGGGACAGTTACAAATGCTAGCAGAACAGGACGATCAACCCCCGTATACAGATGAGGAGGAAAACGATGAGTTAGTTTGAATAATGTTAAATGATATCGATGTTCAGAGATGAGATTGTTCAATGAATGTCCAGCCGATGTGATTCTTTAAATGATATGTGAAGAAGTGAGCAAACTAAAATGTTAAAATGGAGTGAATCCATTTCAATTTATAATATACTATTCCAAGATGGTATATTTTGATTTACCAATTTACTTTACACTATCCAGGATATTTTATTTTATCCATCCATCCATCCATCTTCTTCCGCTTATCCGTGGTCGGGTCGCGGGGGTAGCAGTTCCAGCAGAGAGCCCCAAACTTTCTTTTCCCTGGCGACATCAACCAGCTCTGACTGGGGGATCCCAAGGCGCTACCAGGCCAGCGAAGAGATATAATCCCTCCACCTGGTCCTAGGTCTACCCCTTGGTCTCTTCCCAGCTGGACGTGCCTGGAACACCTCCCTAGTGAGGCGCCCAGGTGGCATCCTAACTAGGTGCCCGAACCACCTCAACTGGCTCCTTTCGACGCGAAGGAGGAGCGGCTCAACTCCGAGTCCCTCCCTGATGACCGAACTTCTCACCTTATCCCTAAGGGAGACACCAGCCACCCTGCGGAGAAAACCCATCTCGGCCGCTTGTATCCGCTGTATATTTTATTTTATTCTTTATTATTTTATACTGTTCTAATATGATGGATCCCATGTTTTATAAATCATTGCTATTCTAAAATGGGTCGTTTGTTTTCACTTTGTAAAAACAAGTGCCTTAACACTGAGCGTATTATGAGAACGGTTTCTGTGAAAGGAGGGAGGAAGAAATGTTCTAATACCAAGCCATTGCTGCTATTTTTGAAGAACCATATTGAATATTAACACTAGAAGTTATGCACAAGGGAAAACTTTTATGTTTGAATACAGTCAAAGTATTTTAGTATTTTTGTAAAGTTGAGGCTATTCGAACCATTCCATTGTGATTGTATGTTTTTGATATATGAGTTATGTACTATGCAGAGTTCAGATGAAGAACTCATTTATTTCAGTATTATACACACCTTTTAGGTGTGTAAGGAGGGACTGTTAGAAATTCAAATCAATGTTTTGATAGCATAATGTACCTTAAACATACCGTCAGTTTAAATGCTGTTTTATACTGAAAAACCAGAAGTTCTTGTGCACAACCAGTTGTTAAGCTTTTATTCTGAAAATCCTTCATGACGACATCCGGGACTACCGCCCATTAGTATCATTAAAGTGGCTATTGACGCCGTTAACATGTATTACATATAAAGTTATGAAAGAGATAAGGAGGAGAAAAGGCATATGGAAGTAAGCAATGAATGTAAAATGTCGAAATCCTCTGTTTAACGCGATATCGGACACAGGAGAACGAGGGGGGAAGTCCCCTACGTCACCACAGCTCCCAGAGAGGAGGAGCGAACAGCCAGCAAGCGGGAAGGACGAATGCTTGTAAGCTCTCTTCTGCACGGCCAGCACCTGAGAGAGGAAGCTGCAGACTTTCTTGACGGAACAATATCCTGTTTGTGACTTTACCGCGCCTTTTTTATTAATTAAAGTACCAAATTTGAACCTCCAGAGACTCCATTTAGTCTCCTTTTTAAGCTTCTCTTTCCTGGACGCGAGAATAATGATCACAGTTAACAATATATACAGTGCAATAAGCTTCTTAGTGCAATAATAAGCTCCAGGGACGTTAATCTAACGTCGGTAATATTAACTTTATTTAATACAACATTTACGGTACAAGATTTACATCATACAGCCCATGTAGTATAATATTTTACAAATGATGAATTACAGCAAACATGTGCAATATATCCATTATTACAGCTCCGTGGCAGTAAGGCGATATGGTCCGTTGTTATTGTGCATCCATGGGTAAAGATAAATGCATGTAGTGCTGAACACGTAACATGAACGTGCCGGGCGGCGCGGTCCCGTGGGTTAGATGCGCGTTCATAATGCAGAGGGAAATAACTCTCAGAATAACATTATTAGCACATTATTACAACTTGAGGAACGAATGTTTTTAATAAGGGCTATACAAGTTTATTTAGTTTTTTAAAAATTATCCAACGAGTTACAGACCACTCTTTCCCAATGTAAGTCAATGGGAAAAAGTGTTTCCGGGCCCAGCAACCTAAAGGAAGTGTAGTACCGCCGTTTGGCCACAACGAATATTCTCATCAGACTCCGGCGCACTTCCTGGGGGCTTGAGGGGTAGGGTGTAGGGGGCGGTTTGGGAATGGGCCTTAATGTGTGTGGCAAAAAAATAATGACCATAGGGGCACTGAGCTGCCATCCCCACAATACGTCATCTCACATAATTCAGAGCTGATTGGCTGTAAGTAGCCTACATGTGCCGCGAAAAGTGTGACCTGCGAGGCCGCAGTTTCATACTATTCACACGTCATCATATTTACACACACGGAAACCTACCGACTACGTTTGCAGTTAAAAAGCCATTATATAATGTTGGTGTTATTTTTCTTCCTGCTTTTATTCTGAAATTCTCAAACCGGAAGTGACCTCTCTCACTAACTGATAGCAACATTGAGTCTCGTCGCGACAGTTTTCTCTCTTTGTTCTCCCGATAAAGAGTGTGTTTTCTCCCGCAGTTCTGATCCTCCAGAGCCTCGGTGTGTCCGGATGAACTCTCCGAGTTTACTCTGATCTGTTCGGCTTCATCTGGAGCTTCTACCTTACCGAATACCGAAGTTAGCTTAGCATGCTAGCTGGAAACACGTTAGCAACTGTGTGAGAGTTTGATGAAGAAAAAACAACACAATTAAGTGTGTGTGTGTGTGTGTGTGTGTGTGTGTGTGTGTGTGTGTGTGTGTGTGTGTGTGTGTGTGTGTGTGTGTGTGTGTGTGGGGTGTGTGTGTGTGTGTGTGTGTGTGTGTGTGTGTGTGTGTGTGTGTGTGTGTGTGTGTGTGTGTGTGTGTGTGTGTGTGTGTGTGTGTGTGTGTGTGTGTGTGTGTGTGTGTGTGTGTGTGTATAAACATGAGTGTTGTGCTGCTCTCGTTGGTGAAGCAGAGACTCTCTGCAGCTGCTGAAGAGATCTTTGCTCTGTTTGAAAGAACGATATCAGAGTACGAGGAGAAACTGTCTCGATCAAAAGAGGAACACGAGAGAGACCGGAAACTACTGGACGCTGTTTTACATTCTCAGATCCAGAGGACAGGTCGGTTCAGTGCACTCTCTAATGGATGTTCACGAGACTAAACGTTTTTTGAACATTTGAAAGTAAAATGCTTCAATCTGGTGCACTTTGAGCAGAATTACTAGAGACTAGATCTAGGGGGTACAACTCTAAACACCCATATGAAAAAGATCGGTTTATATTTCAATAATCAAATAAGTATGTGAACATAACCAATAACCTACCATAGCCAATAACAAATACATGTAACTTATTTTATTTTTGTTGTTCATTCATATCTTATTTTACCTTAACATTTATTTATGCATATTTTTGTATCTCTCCAGTTTTAAAGGATATTTTTGGTTTACTGTCCTATAGAATACATTGGAATGATTTCAAACTTGTTTATCCCAGTAATTATAAAGGAGTGCCTTGGAAATATTTGTTTACATAAATGGTGACCAAACCGTTTGAGACCCACTGAGATAACTTAGACTAAAGTGAACTATCTAAACCAGGGGTCTTCAACTAAAATTCAACGAGGTCCAGTTAGAGAAAATGTCCCCATGCAAAGGTCCGGAACGTCAAAATGTCTAAGTTGCTTCATGAATTAGTGTGATATATATATATATTGAAGTGACCTGTAGCTGTATCAACGTCTGCATGTAATCAACAACTGACTGCCAATCAAATAAAGAAAGTATAATTCAAAAACAACAATATTTATTGTCAATTAACATTGAACCCTACAGATATACAGTAAATACTGTGGATATGTGTAATGTTCCTCTCGGGCTGCATTTACAAATAAAATAGCTTTTGAAAATATGTGCATCTCAAAAGTGCTTAATTTTAGATAAATAAAATAAAGTGTAGCAGCAACTTGAGTTTCCCTTTTTCTTTGTTAACCGTTTCACATCATGACTTAACAGTTTCAGCCGATTATAGAACAACATCAGTCTTTACATCATAACAACTGAACAGTTTTAAAGTTTCTCTTTCTGTCCCTCTTATATTGCAGTCCCTCACTCACTTTGTTCTGTTCAGTGTGAGAATTGAGCTGGAGCTTATTGTCCTGCCAGGAGTTTAAATCTGGGCTGAAATGGAGTCAGGACCATTCTCATACACCTGCAGGTGCTCATTGGTTAGCCTCGGTTAGCTCATTGGTTAGCCTCGGTTAGCTCATTGGTTAGCCTCGGTTAGCTCATTGGTTAGCCTCGGTTAGCCTGGAACGATATTTAGTTCTAATTTTGATCCTGGTGGACTGATCGTATCGGGCTCTGAGACTGCTTATTTGTTGTGAGCTCAGTTCTGACTTGAGAGGGGATGTTTGGTCAAACACTTTGTGTTTTGTCTCATAGTGGCGTGTTGTCTCTTTTAATGAGCGCCACGGTCTCTGAACAAATGAGACACACTGGCTCTGAGCTCCCAGTGGGCAGGATGAGCATGAACGAGTCCACTCAGGGTTCAAAGCTCTGTTCTCACTGTCCACGTTCCTCTTCTTGGAGAGCGCCATGTGTAATTATTTGTCTCTGCCGCTAACACGCCTTTTCACTCTCCTCTCCGCTTCTCTCTGCCGCGCTCTCGTCTCTTCTTCTTCTGTTTCTCTCCCTGTATCTCTCTCTCGTCTCTTCTTCTGTGTTTCTCTCCCTGTATCTCTCTCTCGTCTCTTCTTCTTCTGTTTCTCTCCCTGTATCTCTCTCTCGTCTCTTCTTCTGTGTTTCTCTCCCTGTATCTCTCTCTCGTCTCTTCTTCTGTGTTTCTCTCCCTGTATCTCTCTCTCGTCTCTTCTTCTGTGTTTCTCTCCCTGTATCGCTCTCTCGTCTCTTCTTCTGTGTTTCTCTCCCTGTATCGCTCTCTCGTCTCTTCTTCTGTGTTTCTCTCTCTGTATCGCTCTCTCGTCTCTTCTTCTGTTTCTCTCCCTGTATCGCTCTCTCGTCTCTTCTTCTGTGTTTCTCTCCCTGTATCTCTCTCTCGTCTCTTCTTCTGTGTTTCTCTCCCTGTATCTCTCTCTCGTCTCTTCTTCTTCTGTTTCTCTCTCTGTATCGCTCTCTCGTCTCTTCTTCTGTGTTCTCTCCCTGTATCTCTCTCTCGTCTCTTCTTCTGTGTTTCTCTCCCTGTATCTCTCTCTCGTCTCTTCTTCTGTGTTTCTCTCTCTGTATCTCTCTCTCGTCTCTTCTTCTTCTGTTTCTCTCCCTGTATCTCTCTCTCCTCTCTTCTTCTGTGTTTCTCTCCCTGTATCTCTCTCTCGTCTCTTCTTCTGTGTTTCTCTCCCTGTATCGCTCTCTCGTCTCTTCTTCTGTTTCTCTCCCTGTATCTCTCTCTCGTCTCTTCTTCTGTGTTTCTCTCCCTGTATCGCTCTCTCGTCTCTTCTTCTGTTTCTCTCCCTGTATTGCTCTCTCGTCTCTTCTTCTGTGTTTCTCTCCCTGTATCTCTCTCTCGTCTCTTCTTCTGTGTTTCTCTCCCTGTATCGCTCTCTCGTCTCTTCTTCTGTGTTTCTCTCCCTGTATTGCTCTCTCGTCTCTTCTTCTGTGTTTCTCTCCCTGTATCGCTCTCTCGTCTCTTCTTCTGTGTTCTCTCCTGTATCTCTCTCTCGTCTCTTCTTCTGTGTTTCTCTCCCTGTATCGCTCACTCGTCTCTTCTTCTGTGTTTCTCTCCCTGTATCGCTCTCTTGTCTCTTCTTCTGTGTTTCTCTCCCTGTATCGCTCTCTCGTCTCTTCTTCTGTGTTTCTCTCCCTGTATCGCTCTCTCGTCTCTTCTTCTGTGTTTCTCTCCCTGTATCGCTCTCTCGTCTCTTCTTCTGTGTTTCTCTCCCTGTATTGCTCTCTCGTCTCTTCTTCTGTGTTTCTCTCCCTGTATCGCTCTCTCGTCTCTTCTTCTGTGTTTCTCTCCCTGTATCGCTCTCTCGTCTCTTCTGTGTTTTCTCTCCCCTGTATCGCTCACTCGTCTCTTCTTCTGTGTTTCTCTCCCTGTATCGCTCTCTCGTCTCTTCTTCTGTGTTTCTCTCCCTGTATCGCTCTCTCGTCTCTTCTTCTGTGTTTCTCTCCCTGTATCGCTCTCTCGTCTCTTCTTCTTCTGTGTTTCTCTCTCTGTATCTCTCTCTCGTCTCTTCTTCTGTTTCTCTCCCTGTATCTCTCTCTCGTCTCTTCTTCTGTGTTTCTCTCTCTGTATCGCTCTCTCGTCTCTTCTTCTGTGTTTCTCTCCCTGTATTGCTCTCTCGTCTCTTCTTCTGTGTTTCTCTCCCTGTATCGCTCTCTCGTCTCTTCTTCTGTGTTTCTCTCCCTGTATCGCTCTCTCGTCTCTTCTTCTGTGTTTCTCTCCCTGTATCGCTCTCTCGTCTCTTCTGTGTTTCTCTCCCTGTATCTCTCTCTCGTCTCTTCTTCTGTTTCTCTCCCTGTATCTCTCTCTCGTCTCTTCTTCTGTGTTTCTCTCTCTGTATCGCTCTCTCGTCTCTTCTTCTGTGTTTCTCTCCCTGTATTGCTCTCTCGTCTCTTCTTCTGTGTTTCTCTCCCTGTATCGCTCTCTCGTCTCTTCTTCTGTGTTTCTCTCCCTGTATCGCTCTCTCGTCTCTTCTTCTGTGTTTCTCTCCCTGTATCTCTCTCTCGTCTCTTCTTCTGTGTTTCTCTCCCTGTATCTCTCTCTCGTCTCTTCTTCTGTGTTTCTCTCTCTGTATCGCTCTCTCGTCTCTTCTTCTGTGTTTCTCTCCCTGTATTGCTCTCTCGTCTCTTCTTCTGTGTTTCTCTCCCTGTATCGCTCTCTCGTCTCTTCTTCTGTGTTTCTCTCCCTGTATCGCTCTCTCGTCTCTTCTTCTGTGTTTCTCTCCCTGTATCGCTCACTCGTCTCTTCTTCTGTGTTTCTCTCCCTGTATCGCTCTCTCGTCTCTTCTTCTGTGTTTCTCTCCCTGTATCTCTCTCTCGTCTCTTCTTCTGTGTTTCTCTCCCTGTATTGCTCTCTCGTCTCTTCTTCTGTGTTTCTCTCCCTGTATCGCTCTCTCGTCTCTTCTTCTGTGTTTCTCTCCCTGTATCTCTCTCTCGTCTCTTCTTCTGTGTTCTCTCTCTGTATCGCTCTCTCGTCTCTTCTTCTGTGTTTCTCTCCCTGTATTGCTCTCTCGTCTCTTCTTCTGTGTTTCTCTCCCTGTATCGCTCACTCGTCTCTTCTTCTGTGTTTCTCTCCCTGTATCTCTCTCTCGTCTATTCTTCTGTGTTTCTCTCCCTGTATTGCTCTCTCGTCTCTTCTTCTGTGTTTCTCTCCCTGTATCTCTCTCTCGTCTCTTCTTCTGTGTTTCTCTCCCTGTATCTCTCTCTCGTCTCTTCTTCTGTGTTTCTCTCCCTGTATCGCTCTCTCGTCTCTTCTTCTGTGTTTCTCTCCCTGTATCGCTCTCTCGTCTCTTCTTCTGTGTTTCTCTCCCTGTATCGCTCTCTCGTCTCTTCTTCTGTGTTTCTCTCCCTGTATCGCTCTCTCGTCTCTTCTTCTGTGTTTCTCTCCCTGTATCGCTCTCTCGTCTCTTCTTCTGTGTTTCTCTCCCTGTATCGCTCACTCGTCTCTTCTTCTGTGTTTCTCTCCCTGTATCGCTCACTCGTCTCTTCTTCTGTGTTTCTCTCCCTGTATCGCTCTCTCGTCTCTTCTTCTGTGTTTCTCTCCCTGTATCGCTCTCTCGTCTCTTCTTCTGTGTTTCTCTCCCTGTATCGCTCTCTCGTCTCTTCTTCTTCTGTGTTTCTCTCCCTGTATCGCTCACTCGTCTCTTCTTCTGTGTTTCTCTCCCTGTATCGCTCACTCGTCTCTTCTTCTGTGTTTCTCTCCCTGTATCGCTCTCTCGTCTCTTCTTCTGTGTTTCTCTCCCTGTATCTCTCTCTCGTCTCTTCTTCTGTGTTTCTCTCTCTGTATCGCTCTCTCGTCTCTTCTTCTGTGTTTCTCTCCCTGTATCGCTCTCTCGTCTCTTCTTCTTCTGTGTTTCTCTCTCTGTATCTCTCTCTCGTCTCTTCTTCTGTGTTTCTCTCCCTGTATCTCTCTCTCGTCTCTTCTTCTGTGTTTCTCTCCCTGCACCAGCTTTATCCACGCTGGCGTTACTGTTATCACTGGCTCAGTGTCATTTCATTTGACCAAATAGCTTTACATATACATTTAATAGATTTTATTATTATCCACCTTTTTGTTTTATGTCCTTTTATTTAAAACATTCTTTGAGACTTCATCTTCTGGTTCAAATTTCAATAAATGTAATTTGTATAATCACTCTTTTGTCTTTATTCTACATGAACATGTTAGAGATTCCATTCAAATCTGTTGATTATTCAGATCTTCCTCAGATTAGGAATAGTATGTCACATTGTTAATGCTAAATGTATATCATTTTCTCACAGGATGTAGAATGAAACAACACCGGTTTTATCCATTGTGTATGAACGCTTCAGCTCTTCAGACCAACATAGGAAGATGTGAGCATGTTCCTAATTGTGTTGGTATGCAGCCTAGGTCTGCTCTGTCTAATAAAGCAAATCTGCCACTTTTATATTGTAGAATTTGTTCAATTAAAGCAGTCTTTAATTGTTTGTCCTAAACATAGCAATATATGCTTTTCAAATTTAACATGTCTTTGAAAAATAATAGTGTACAGTTTATATTGTGTATCACCTTTAGCTTAAAAATACATAAATGTGTTTTTTTTATCCATAACATAAATAGACAGACACTTTATCAATCCCAAATTGGTAAATTATTTAACAGCAGCAGTGTGTTCAGGTATTACAATATTTGGAGTTGGAATAAAGTATAAACTACACATCACAAGTATAATGCACAGTAATCCATAAGAGAAGTCTGATATGTTAATGAAACTCCGACACTAACGTGGCCGAGTGGACTCCGGAGTTTGCTGCATGAGTTGCACTGTATGATCTGTGGTGTAGTTGGCTGTCACTCAACAAATGAGTAGCCAATGGGGTCGCACCCCTGAAAGTCCCGCCCACCTGGGAGGTTTGTGTCAAAATAGAAAACAAAAAATGAGGGACCGCAAACGAGAAGAGCTGCAGCGAGAGCAACAGTCAGATCATTGAGAAAGAAGAAACAAGAACTGCAAACAAAAACCTATGTTAAAACAAAGAAAAAAGACTTATAGTTTACATGATTACACAAATGATCTCTCCCTCGCTCACTCGCATTTTGGCTGTGAGCTGCGGGCGCCAGATAAGCCAACATCCCCCATTTCCATCACTTACAGCGCCCATCGTACAGGGCAAAGTGTAACCGGGGTGAAAAGGGTGTTACCTTTACTTAATTATGAATATTGTTACATCAAGGCCGAAAATCAGGATGAGCGCCAATGGTCAAAAATGTTTTTTTTCCCTCCCAGAACTGCCAGTGCAGCGCGACCCCCCCCCCCCCCCCCCCACCCATCAGCTGGTGGAGGTTTATTTAGAAATAATGAATATGAAATCTATTCTATAAATGTTTTTTATTTACCCAGTACCGATAGATAACCTGATAACGTTGGAGCTTAACAAAAAGGGGGATTTTGAGCTGTAATGAACACAGAAATGTTATCAGTAACGTCTCTGTTTCCTGTTTCCTGCAGATGTCCAACTGGTGGAGGTTAAAGAAGAGTTTCCCCCTGAGACCCCCCCACACATGAAAGAGGAACAGGAGGAACTCTGGATCAGTCAGGAGGGAGAGAAGCTTCAAGGGCTGGAGGAGGATGATAACAGCAAGTCAACATTCACTCCTGTCCCTGTGAAGAGTGAAGATGATGAACAGAGACCTCAGTCCTCTCAGCTTCGTCAGAGACAAACAGAAGCTGATGGAGAGGACTGTGGAGGACCAGAACCAGCCAAGAACTCTGATCTAGAGACACGTTTACAACCAGAGACTGAGGACAACCCTGGAGACTCTTCAGAACCTGACACTGAAGACAGTGCCGGTTGGAAGGAGACCAGAGACCCTCCGTCAGGTTCAAACTCTCGAGTCCCCGTCAGTGATTCAAGGCGTAGTTCTGCAAATAAACGCTGTAAATGCTCTCAGTGCGGGAACACATTTACCAAGAAGAGTGATCTGAATCGACACATGCTAATTCACACAGGAGAGAAACCCTTCAGCTGCGCACTGTGCAGTAAAAGGTTTATTCGCAGGTGTCATGTGACGAGACACATGCTAGTTCACACAGGAGAGAAACCCTTCAGCTGTTCACTGTGCAGTAAAAGGTTTATTCGCAGGAGTCATGTGACGAGACACATGGAAGTTCACACCTGAGAGAAACCATTCAGCTGCTCAGTTTGTGGGGAACCTTTTACACAAAGTGAACATTTACAGATTCACCTGAGAGTCCATGAAGAAGAGAAACCATTCAGCTGCTCTCTGTGTAGCAACAGATATACACAGAGAGGGGAATTAAACCTTCACATGCAGGTTCACACCGGAGAGAAACCCCACGGTTGCTAACAGAAGTGGAAGATATTTACTCAGATGTCAAATCAAATCAAGTTTTATTTATATAGCACATTTATAAACGATTTTTCGTCGAGCCAAAGTGCTGTACATATAATAAAAATAGCCTACAGTAGAGACACTTTACAGCAAATACAACAGATGTAGTCCGAACACTTGCAAGTTCACACTGAGGAGAAACCTTTCAGCTGCTCCGATTGTGATAAATATTTTTAGACGAAGTGACATTTCAAAGATTCACATGAGATTTGGAGGAGAAACGATGTGGCTGCCGTGTTGGTGAGCAAGGATTCTCTTGGATTTATGAACTCAGAAACCGTCAAAATGCCAAACGATAAATAACGTCTAACTTTACTGAATACAAAGGACATCTGGAGAGTATGACAACATGACTTCTACTTGAACTGATGCTCTAAATATCTTGTAAATTATTTACTTAAATGTGCATTTTTTTTAAGCATCTAAAAATAAACCTGCTTTTTATTTTGTATTACTTTACACATCTTAGATTTAAGAATGAACATATGTCAAAGGAAAACTTTTGTGGTCAACAAAGTAATAAAAGGCAAATGAATAAATAAAACTCATCTTAATTTTTTCATCTTAGATAGATAAGATGCAAACTACTGTTTTTTGGTCAAGTCAACAGGGTCATGTCGACTATCTGTTGAGTCAAGATGTCAACTAAAGGTTACATTAAGCATTAGTTGACTATCAGCATACTTTTAGTAGGCATGTGTTAGGACTATCCAATTCAAGTGAAAAACTGTTGAACAGTAGAAAGTCTATAACCTATCAACAGAACACATTCATCCACTAATGATATGCAACAGACATGGGAATAGAGCTAAATGTTTTTGCACAACTGATCACGAGCACCGGATAACTGAAATCAATGCCAGGCTATAAAGCACACTAGAACAAACACTATAGGCAGCACATCAGAGAAAGAAAGCTTTTTTATTTTAAGAATATACTAACAGAAGAACATTAAATTAGAACCCCCCCCAACCACATTCATTCCTACTAAAGGACATATGAAGCTTAGCGCAAGTTCAGACAGGAAGACCTATCACTCCGTATTGCACGTCATGGCAATACTCGCTCCCTGCACTAATGACAGGGAGCGCCACTCCTCAGCTAACCTATCACTCCCCTCCATTTACAAGCCTAATCATCGCACCTGTTAATCCCTCTATATATGCTCTCCCCTTTCCTATCAGCTGTCTTCCAGGTGTCAACGCGCAACCCTCCTCCACCCCTTCGCCTCCTGCTTTCAACTCAGGGCCAAGCTTAACCTTCTCCCTTCCAACCGGACCTAACCACTTATCACCACCACCAGTGTCTAGACCCAGGGGGGTTCATCGGAAACGGTTCTTCCCTTCCCGATTGATATCCTACAAAACCTGGGCCTAATCGCCAAAACACATTTCATTAATTTGTTATAAACTGTCATCATTATGTTTCATTTATATAATGTGACCGATAATAAATATGTATTCCATACATCACGTCTCTCCTGATTGAACTAAAGTTAATTGCAGATTAAACAAATAAATTAAAAAAGGGAATGTTATGTTCAGGTTAATACCTTTTATTAAAATTTGATTATTTCAATACAGTTTTCCTAAAACAGTAACAAGTTTGTTTAAAAGCACAACACATGAACACACATGGAGACACATGGTTATTACTTGATGGTTATTCCAACTGGCTCGTGGGCAACGTATCACTTCATGCTGTGCATCACGAGCCTGTTGCACTTCGACCTCTGCTGTTCCCTGTATATACAAACAAAACACTACATTGAGTACAAATCAGGACACACCATGTGTTTTCCTCAACAACAAAAACACACCCGTCTTGAAATCATAACGAGCCAGTTTACATTAGCTGTTAACAGACGGTAACAGAGCTGCTATTCACATGCATTACAAGGGGTTCAAGCCATCGAAACAAAAAGCCGGTTTGCAAGAAAAATAACCACATAGTATGATATTGATATAGTTCATAAAATGTCCAACTACTTATGTTTAACCCCACCTCATGCTCAGAGATTTATATAAAGTGGCACATGGGTTCTAGAATAAATAACAGATGATTATTCTATCTTGATAAGTGAGAGCGCAGGCCAGTCTACATGAACGCAGGGCAAGGCACGTTTCTGTCCAAAGGTTCCATGATGGAGTCGATACTGTTTTAAAATATCACTTTGAGTGGTTACATTCTGCATAGTTTACATCTCCATCCCATCTGTGATTCCAAAAATAGAAATTGGTACATTTACCTGATTATATTAGAATGTAAACATAACGTCTTGAATGAACCTCTGAAACAATAAGTCTGACACACTCAAGGGCTTACCTGATGTGAACCTGAAGTCGATAGCAGGAGGCAACATGTCTTCAAGAGAAGGTGGGACTGTTTTCTGGTGAGGCAAATAAAAGAATAAAATAGTTACATGATGACAATGTGATGCCCCTGTGGGTTCATCATTAGAGAGGGTGTGGCTGTGCTGTATTGATTGCATTGATTGCAGTAACTCAGGGCACCTGGGTCTGGTGCCCTGCAGCTATTTAACCTGTTAAACCCCGAGCCTGTTTTTCAGGTTTCAGGCTAGAAAATGACATTCCCAGAACAAATGACCATATCTTCTAAAAGGGTTACATTAATAATCTTTTTTCTCAAAGTAAGGATAAACCTGTGAGTTGGATGTAGAAAAGTCAGATTCAATATAGATGTTTTTTATTTTAAAGAAAATTCAGATTGAACATGGTAAAAAACTGTAAATTATAGTGTCCGTCCAAAAAATATCTTGCACTTATAGTGAAAACTAACCTTGGATGATGGGTTAGTAGACTAAAAGCTTTAGGAATCCAAAGTACAACATATAATAAGTACCCTGTATCAAGATTGATGCAAAACAAGTGATATTTGACCTTTTTAGACAGATTTAGCAAAAAAACCCTCTTCTGGGGCCATTTGGGTGGATTTTCCATATCTCTGGCCCCCCTTGCTCGATTTTGACATGTGACATCTCTTTCTGACCGTCAGAGCCAATGGAATCGAGGGGAACTCCCACATAGTCCTTATTTGGTCATGTGTATGTGTGAGACTGCTGCATCGCCGAGACCGGAAGCAGCAGCTAGCTGTGGTGGCTACCATTAGCAGCTAGCATTTACTCCCCGATTATTACATAAAAATGGAATTATGGATTATAAATTCAATCAGTTTTTTATACATGGACGTTAATAATTTATGGATTAACCGATTCAGCCGCGTTTTTTCTCATTTTAATGCCATTGAACACGTACTTTGATCAGATACTTTGAGACAGCTACTTGTGAGACGATCTCCCTAGAAGCTTCGTAAAGGTACGTGTTGTGATGACTGTATTTGCTTCCCCTGTCACGAGTCCGGATCACTCAGTGATGATACTATATACCTACATAATCTATGGAGTCTCATCTTTAATCGGATATATTGTATGTGCAGCTATGATAAGTAATAAGGGTACTTTTATCTTGAGTTCTGTGCCAATGTCCGTTAGCATTTTTCGCTCAGGGGTAATTTAGATGCTTCTTGTGAGACTTGTGTTTTGTTTTGGTAAACATGGTTTGTATCGTCAGTTAGCTGAGATTATTTCCGTTAATCTGGTATAACACATTAATAGGTTCTTAAATATTAAGATCCCCTGAGACACAGTATCGTGAAAAAAAGACCCGGCGGGGACCTTCGGGCTTAACAGGTTAAAGCCTCTCTGTTCCCTCTCTGTTTTTCCCTGCAGGCACCCGGCTCTGTTGAGTATAACAAATTGGTTGATTTTAATTGTTTGTTCTAAATAAACATATTTTGATAACCGTTGACATGGTGTGTCTCCTCTTTGTTGTGTCCTTTTGAGCCAGGTCATAACAAAGAGGAGACACACCATGTCAACGATTATCAAGCCTCCTGTGCTCGCCATGAGTACACACTGAAGTAACGGCACTGTCCGAATCTGACCAGTTTCTTGCTGCAGCTACGCGTTCAAATAGAGTGGGGGAAAAAATGTCAGGGTCACGCTCATTAAACGTTGGCACTAACCGCAAGCTAGAAATAACATCGCCACTACCTGATGCAAAACTATCGGCATCAGCCCCCACCGAAAAAAACTTGCCCTTTTCAATCAGCCGTAATCTAGCATGTTCCACCTCACATTTCATCTTTTCCACCTCCAGCACCTTCTCCACCTCTAAACGCTTCTCTACCTCCTGCTGCTGAAACTGCTTGGCCAAAAGCTCTTTTTGCTGCTCGAACGTCAAACCAGCGGTCTGAACCACTACCGGCCCGACCCCTGCCGCACCAGACTCGCTCTTCTGCAACACCCCCTGCTCAAACAAAGTTGACAGCTTTAATCTCATGTTTCCGCTTGCTCAATACCGAATCCTGATCCGATTCTTCTGTTCCTCAGATAATACAGCTGCACCGTGTACACTAGCTCTATTTGTTTTTGCCATTGCAATTCACCATAAGCAATTGTTAACTGTAACGTCTATGCCAACCGACTGTAATTTGTAATGTATTTTACTATACTTTAACGGTTCTGGCAACCACAGCAGCCCAAATGTTAACGTAAATGTCAAGTTTTATTTTTACAGTGTACTTATATCTGTACATTTCTTTTCAGTTTGCTTGAAGAAGTGGCTTCAACAGACAGAAGTGCAGGCCAGATTGGGAAAGGCTGGACGCTACACAGCGGGAAACATTATGGACATGAACAAGGAGAAACAAAAAACACTTTCTTTGTTGCCTTTTCCTTATCATACATAGTGTTACTGTTTTTGTTACCATTTAAATATTGAATTCTATTTATCACTTTTATTTTAAATCAAATGCACCGGTTGTAGATAATATATTTCAGTCAGACAACTCACGTGTTCCTTTAACATGTTTATTAGAAGCAGCATATAGTTAAGTTTGGCGACTAGGCTCGGGCATCATCACTCCATAGATATACATAGCACGATGAGTGATGATTAGATAACTAACCCCCGAGCCTACAGGTGGAAGCTGGGGTGGAAGCTGGGGTGGTGGTGGGGCAGGCAAGCAGCAGCGACGTAGAGGTGGCTGCAGCAATAGCAGCAGCAAGCAATGCATGGAGAGAGATCTGGCAGGTTCAATAGAGCGGCGTATTAAGGAGACTCTGTTTGGTTGGTTGTAGAGTGGCAAGGGGCGTTATGTATGAATGCAGCATAAGTGCTCGAGTTGACTGCCTGAACTAGCTCGCAGGCTTCGCCTCATTTATTTTGATGTGTAGGTTGATTTGCAGGTTGGTTGTTATTTGTATTGTTACTGTGTATTTTATTATATTAACTAGCTATTTATTACATTTAAATACTGTTATGAACACGATACAATGTCTTTATTTTGGTCGATACCAGAATACATGACATGATGAATCTTTGTAATATATTTATGTTCTCTAGTTTAAATAATCATACCAGTATTTAATGTATGCTGGTCACCTGGAGCTGTGGTCTCAAGGTCCTAGGTGCCTCAAGGGGCGGTAACCCTCGAACCTCCTGGTGGACACCAGTGGTCAGG